TATAAGCTTGATTTTGATGCAACCACTCATTTATTTGAAAATCAGGGGACATTCACACACAGGTGTCCTAAATTTCCTTAAATTAAAAACTAACCCTTCACAAGGAATAGCTGTGCTCGCTCTGAAGCAGTAAAGAAAGAAGTGGGCCACTCCCGAAGGAACACAAAAATAATCAAGGAGCCAACTCAGGATGCATGCGGGGCCCAAGAGCAGGAGCCAGAGGCGACCACCCACCCACGCAGCCGCTCCACCGGGCCCTGGGCCTGCTCAGTGGAGGTGTGCCCAGGGCTCCGGCGACCCAGCCCATGCCGAGGTCCCAGATGTGCCCAGCACCTTGGTGGGCTCACCAGTCCTTACAACCACAAAGTCATTTCTCCAAGCCCTGGAGGGCCACTTCCCCTGCATTACCAGGACTCTAGGGAACAGAATCTTTCCACCCAACCCTGACCTTCTCCCCCAGTATCTTCCCAAGGACCACCTTCACTTTGAACTTCACAGGGGTCCACCGACAGCATGCAGCGGGGATCGGAGCTTGAATGAGAAAAAAATGACATCTTTATCGTCACTGTCCTCCGCGTGACTGTTAACCATTCCAAACCGAACGCCGGCAAGTCTCACCTTACTGTCTCCGAGCGCCAGGGCTCACGACACAAGTCACACGTACGTCCCGACCCCTTCCCAGCTCGTGCAGATAACTCAAAATATCGTTTGCCCTCTGACTAGGCTGAAATTACAATAATTGTTAGACTTATTGCTCGCTCTTATCATTTAATACGTTACTATAGAAGCATATTATTATATCATAAATTTGTTCTTTACTATTTGGATGACGGTGAGTTCAACATAATTGATTTCCCTTGTTACCCTATGTTTTTTATTCATGCATTTTAAAATGTTATTTCGGAAGGGTTTCAGCAGACTGCCAAAGAACACCGAAAAGGCTCAGTCCTCCTGTCTGGGATAGGAAGGGGCACCAGCTCTACAGCCGGACGAGGTTAGACTCAACCAGACTCTGCCAACATCTAGTTCTTTTCCTTTGAGCAAAACTCCCTGAAACTCACCTTGTTCGCGGCAGCCAATATAGAAACAACACCTGCCTAATGAAACCATTCATTCATCAAGAAATTAAGCGCTCCTCTATTTCCCGTGTGCCGGTACAAGGCTGAGCTCTGGGCTACAGTAATGAGTGGGACAGAGACGCTACTGAATGAAGAGGGCCCGCCCTTTGGAGGCCTGGCCACTGGGGTCAGCACTGCCCATGGGGGACAGAGGTCACAAGTGCCCAGGATGCTGCCACTGGGAAGCACCAGCTCCGACTGGCACAGTGATCCACCCCAAGATCCTCATCTCCCTCTGCCTCCACCTCCCTGTCTACCAAAGGGTGACAGCCCAAGGTATCCACTGCAGGACTGTTGTGAGGACTTGATGAGCTAGGACTTGCTGCAGAACAAAGGCTGGAATTTGGAGAGGTGTGTTCCCTTCGGCCAGTCTTCTCTTGCTGCAGTGAAAAATGTTGGCGCCTGGGACAGCCTCACGCAGTCCTCTGGATCCCCAGAGGAGGCTCAGGGGCTCACACAGTTGAAGGCATCCTAGCCAGTCTAGTCCTCCCGACAAGAATTCCCCTCTCCAGCATGCTGGCCAACAGGACCCCCAGACAGAGAAGGGCAGAGCTCGGGGGCAGTAGTTAGGACAGTAGTGTCTGTTCATCTGGACAACCTCTCCTTGAAAATCCTTCTCCCAATGGACCCAAATCATCTCATTTCTTTCCTCTCTCTCTTCTGCCTTTGATCACCCCAGTCCTGCTCTGAGCTCTCTCCCACCAGACCATCAAAGTTCCTTTCAATTTCTTTTGGAAGCCCCTCTGGCCTCTCCCCTAAGAAGCCTTTTCCAACTGGGCTGTCAACCCCATCCCATGCAAGCCAGAGGCCTCCCAAACTCTACAAACGAAGTTCGCTCCCAGGGAGAAGCTAGCTTCTGTGCAGAGATTTCTCGATCACCCACATTTCTCATGGCCAACACTTTTAAAGCCACTTCATCTTGTTTGCAACACCAGCACTGGCCTGGGAGGCATAACTGCACAGGGGTACGCAAAACCGAAATGTGTTTTATGTGCCTAAAGCTTCTATTCATCTTTCCTGATTATTCGCTTCCTGCTCTCGCAGACACAAATGCTATTCCGTCTCCCCCACAGTGTTGTCATTTTTCCATGTCACTGTCAGTCACTCCAGCTGCTCCCAGGCACAGCCACAACCAACCTCAACTTCTCACTCCCTCTTTTTCACACTCATATCACATTCACACCAGCCTTACTCGCTCCCTCAAATCTGCCCCCTGGCTCCACCCATTCATGGTAGTGGAGACTGGACTGCCCTCCAGTCACAGGCAGACCCAGACTTAAGATGGCTTTGGATTGGAACAAGATCAACCTTGGCAGCCAACGCCTCCTAAGCTGGGTGGGGTGCCCAACCACAATGGTCAAGGGGCCAGGTACGGAGCCGTGTGGCTTCTGTCGGACAAAGACACGGGCAGGAATGTATCCAGACCAGCAGAAAAGGAGGAACCGGATCTAAACCCCAGACATGGCTGAAGGAAGGCAGCTTAGGCCTAGTGAGATCCAGGGAGTTGCCAGCGCCTGGAAGATTTACCCAGCACCCCTCACACCCCCCCACAGGATCTCTAACCCAACCATCATTTTGGAGGCTACAGCACCTGTATCTGTCTCCCTTTGCAGAGCACTCAGCCTCATTCTGCTGTTTTACAAACAAAATTTTATTCCAGGTGTGTGACCCACATGGGCATAAAACCTTTGCTGCTTTAAATTCACTCTGCACGTTCATTTGCGTTACACGGCAAGAATGCTGACACATGAATCAGCACACGCCAGGCTGCAAGCAGGAAACAAGACACAACGTGGGTTGTGCTCCCTCCCCAAACACCTTCTGCTTCTCCAAGGTTAAGAAAGTAGTGACAAGGTCCCCTCCCCACCATGCTGAGAGCCATCCAATGACAGAAAAAAAGATGGGGGCCCACTCGTGGGGCTCAAAAAGCCAGGGAAATGAATATGCATGATGTGCAGTTCCAAAGCTCCCCTCTCTCCCACTTCTGGTCTCCTGCCACCATTCCCCTTTAACGCCACCTTGCCACTCATTTTTCTCCAAGGCATCTGCTTGTACCTGAGGCTGGGGGTGGAGGGAGGTAGCATCGGGGGCCAGCGCTCAAGCTCCACACCACAGACTGGCCCAGCGGGGGACCAGCAGGCAACCTGAGGTTTCTTGAGCAGCCAGAAGAAACAAAAGGCACAAATGTCACATTTCCTTGCTTTCCCATCCGTGGCTCCTTCTCTTGCCCCACCCTTGCACTCAGCCCTTTTTCCTGCTTTCACCACACCATCTGCCCTTGTCTGCGTCCTCTAGAATCCATATGAATCACTAATTACTGATTTAAACCCAGGCACTAGTTGGATGACACAGTGTAACAAATACCAATATTGAGGACTGGCAATGGGGAGAATGGTGCGCTGTGGGCCTCCTGGACTCTGCCAGCAGACATGGGCACACTGTATCCTAACCCACCTCGGGAGGAAGACTGTCTAAACTTGCTACCAGATTCTGTTGGGGGGGGTGGGCGGGGAAGGTGGGATTTGGGGGTAGAGGGCTGGCACTAATGAACTCACACACCAGTTCTCTCTCTACGATGAAATGACCCCAGAAGCTAAAAGACAGGTGGAGATCCCAGTCCCAGAGTCTGGTTTACATGGGACTAGGGTTGTTGGCTGGACATCAGAGTTTTTTAAAGCTCCCCTAGAGATTCCAATAAGCACCCACGTTTGAAACCCCCGGTTGAACACATTTAATGCATGTTCCAGACATTTTCCCCAAGCAGATGGGACACTCAGATACCTGGTAGCCTTCAGCGGTCATGACAACCCTTGGAGGTGTCGCCCCACTTCACTGAGACTGGAACTCATGTTCTTGAGCACCCAAGCTGGCTCTCTTTCCACCCACCTGTGCACTCCCGCAAGGGTGCAGACAATGCATGAAAGCAATCTGGTCACAAATAAGCCCCACGAGAGCAAGACACCTCGATTTTGAGATGCAAACACACAGCAGATCCTAGCAAGTTTGAATGAGAAGACCCAGGTTCAGAGGGCAGGAGGCGGGGTGCTCACAGGGGAGGTGTGAGGCAAAGGGGAGACACAGGATGCTAGCCAGGGAGCTTCCCTTAGATCTGAGACATGTTCTAAGACACCACACTCAAGGCACTGCTCCCCGGCAGGAAAGGTGTCCAACTTGGGAATGGACACAAACTGGACAAAGGGGGCGTCTTCAATGGGGTAGGGGCCCTTGAGAGAGGTGTCCAGGGCTCTCCTCTTCAGGTCAGTTTCATCCTCCCACCCTAAGCATTCTCACCTCCTATGGGGGCTCAACAAGCCAGCCTGACACACTCTCCACCAGCTTCTACTCCACCAGTCTCTCGTCCTTCCAGAACCATGACCTGGTCTTCCTTGATGCAGGCCAGATGACTGTACCCTCAACCATGCTTAGCTGCAGACCATTTCAGTGGGGTAAAGCATCCCTTCAACCCTCTCTTCCACTTCCCCTTCAAGAAAAAGCTCCTGATTATCACCACGCCAACTTTCCAAGAGACTAGGAAGAACACCGTCCCTGCGCTGGCCCAACAAAGAAGTGAAGAAAGTAGCATGTTCATACCCGGACAGACAGGAGTTCCGAATCCACACGGAGTTCCGAGGCATTGGTCCTGCAGAAGGGGGACCTCGCCCAGGGCCCAGGGCAGACACTTTGGGGACACATCTATTCCCAAGCTCCTCCTGAATGGACATCAGGCCCCTTAACCCTCCGTTCTAATCTGTGACACCCCAGCTGCCTCCTGCTGTCCCCCCCAAAGCTGAGCGTTGATGCCAAAGAACCACAAGGAATTACAGGAACCCAAAGCAGGTCAAACTTCCACATCGATGGCACCCCATAAGCGGGGTCACTTACCCAGCAAGGCCAGACAGCTCAGCACCCAGAGAAAGCACTTCATGTCGGCAGTGACAGGAGACACAACCCCGGTTCCTCTTCTCCCAGCGCTTAATGGCTCATTTCTGGAAATCCACTTATAGCTCCCGAGGACAATTTGGAAACAGATTTAACTCAGAAAGCGAGAATAGGTTAAAGAGAGATTAGCAGGGGGCGGGGGAGGGATGGCCCGAGTGGGGGGCGCAGGTGTTACACCCCCCTATGCTAAAGGAAGGGTCCAGAACAATTCCGAAGGCGCTCGAGGCTTCGACCCCATCGTGTGTCTGGCGGTGTCCACTAGAATTGCAGGCGGCGGTGGATTAATCCTTCAGGAAAAGGGAAAAAGCGAGTCTGAGAAAATCCTTTCATCCACTGATTATACAGAAATGTCCTTGGCTGCGCCGTGAAGGTGTCTTGATCTCCCTCATTCGGAGTCCCCCAAGGGCGCGGGGCCGGTGCTGGCACCACCTTCCCCAGCGCAGCGGCCCGGGCCGGCGCCCACGGCTGGGGTTTCGCGCCCCCAAAGTCCTTCTCCATCCATGACGGCAGGTCACGGCGCGGCCACCTGCCCGGTCCCGCCCAGGACTCGCGAAGCAAGTTGGCGTCCGCAGCCCCGGAGGGGTCCCACAAAGCCAGCGGGTCCCTAAAACAAACACAAGCGGGTGGGTCACGGGCGCGCTCGGGCCGCCGCCCCGGGCACCCCCCTGGGCATCCTGACCTTGGGCTTGGGCGAGTCGCCACTTTGGCCTCCGCCTCAGTTTCCCTGCCCAGCGCAGGGCGGCAGCGGGGAGCCCGGGGGTCCCCCGATACTTTGCCCCGGTGCTGCACTCCTGGGACGGCCCCAGCCGCCCCCCGAGCCCCGCGCGCGGGCAGCCCCACCCGAGGGGCGACGAGGTGGGGCCGCCGCTCCGGGTTCCACCCCGGCCCCCGCCCCAAACGTGGGCGCAGCGCGCACGCCGCGTCCCAGGTGGCCCCGCTATTGTTTTACCTTCCGGGGGTTTATTTTCGCCGATCGGGAAGAAAAGAGACCGAGAGAAAAGGCGGCCGGAGCTCCGCAGCCGGGGCGCGCCCGCCGCGCGCCCGCACGGCCAGGGGAGGGGTCTCGGGCCCGACCCCCGAGCGGAGCCGCCGCCCCCCGCCCCGGCCCCGCCGCCCCCGCCCCGGCCCTGCGGCCCCCGCCCCGCCGCGCGCTCCAGACCTCGCCCGGCCTCGCCCGCCGCCCGCGCCCGGGCGCTCCGCAGGTCCCGGCGCTCCGCACGCCTCTGGGGACGCGCCGCCGCCTCCCGCGCCGCCCGCTCGGCCCCGCCCGCCGCCCCGCCCTCCGGCCGGCCCCGGCCCCGGCCCCCCGCGGGAGAGGGGGGGCCCCCGCGCGAGGCGCCGCCCCCGCGCGCCCCGCCCGCCGCCCCCCGCGCGGGCGTCCCGGCCCGGCCGCTCCGCGTGCGCGCGGGGCCCGCGCCCCCCGGGCCTGGGGCTGCCGCGGGCGGGCCCGGGGCCTGAAAGTTAACGAGCGGCTCCGCGGACTGTCCCCCCGAGAGCCCGGGCCCCCCGCGGCCGCCGGCCGGGCCCAGCCGGGAGCAGGGCTGCGCGAGCGCGTCCTCTTCCCGGGAAACAAAAACAAAGCGCTGGGCCGCCGGCTCGAGCCGCGCTGGCAGTGGCGCCCGGGCTGCGCTTCAGTCCTGGGCAGATTTCCTAGAAGTTGAGACCGGGATGGACGCCGCTGACAGCCCCGGTTCGAGTCCAGCTTCCTGCGCTTCCCCAGGGCGCACCTTCGCGGGGTGCCGGGGCCTTGGTTTCCACGCTGTTACCTGCGGAACCAGCCCCCGCTTAATAGGTTGTGGGAGAGGCCGAGACACACTTGTAAAGCACTCAGAATGGTGCACGCACTAACGCAAGCTGTTACGATTTTATGAGGAACAGCTCTAGCCAAGCAAGAGCGTTTTCATTCACTGAGCGCTGATGGGACACACACAGCGGCTGGGGAGGCTCCATCACGAGGTGATTGAGGCAGAACAGGACGACGGTCCGGCCCTCCTGAGGCTTGCAGAGATGGGGATGAAACAGGGGTTGTTAGGGCCTCCCTGGTGGCACAAGGGGTTAAGTGGCAGCACTATGGAACTGTCCGCAGCCACTGCAGAGTGAGTTCGATCCCCGGCCAGGGAGCTGACCCACATGGTGCAGTGGACCTCTTGTGTCTCACCTGCTGCTCCCCTCAGCAGTGTATTTCAGTAGATCTGCCTGTTCTGTTCCCCACTCTGTCTCTGGTGAATCCTGTCACCACCACCCCCACACCTCTGGCCTACACCCCAGTTCTTGTATGCATAAATAAATAAATCTTCAAAAAAAGAAATGAGCATCTAGAAGGGCAGTTCAGCCTAGGCGTAAAGCCGGAGGGGTTCGCTATGTCGCTGGAAATCCAGATGAGAGACATGGGACCAGGACCGCAAGGGATCAGGGTGGGCGCTGCTGAATGCCAGGTTGAGGGTGAGAGAGACGGCAGAAAAACCAGTTCATCCTCAACAACTGTGGTGAGAATACAAGCTAAGGTCAGCTGTCTTGGAGGCCCAAGAGGCATGGAAGGGCAGAGGTCCAGAAAGCATTTGGGTGGGAGGTGGGGTGGAGTCCTGAACTCAGAGAGGAGAGATGTTTTCAGCTGTTTGGACAGCATAGCATTGAAGGAATTTAGTGAAGGACTATACTGGTGACTCACTTATACCAGAAACAAAACAAAACACACACAAACATACACACACACACACACACGTTCAGGGGAACTAAGAACATGCTGTGGGGACCCTGAAGTAGCAAAGGGGTCGTGCTTAACCTCATTGCTCTTCCTAGGCTATAAATTCCTTGTAGGTAAGACCTGCCCCTTAATTATCATTTATCCCAAACAACCCTTGGCACGGTGAGGTGCATAGCGTAATTGCACTATAAATACTTCAATCGAGTTGAATTGAATATTTATCACCTATGCTATGTCTTGTATTGAAAATATCCTTTTGGTGTATTAAATATTATCTCTTTCCCCCTAAGGTAACACTGACTCTGGCATCTCTCAACTTCTCCTTATCTGCCAGACCCCATTTATATGGAGTAACCAGTATGTCCCAAGTAGTCTCTGCAAAAAGTTCCTGTTTTGGGTGGGGCGGGCATTAGGGAAAGCTTCTCAAAGAGAGCACAATGGAGCAGAGTACTGAATAGGAGAGTGGGAGCTCTGGGGATCTCTGCAGGAAAAGCATTCCAAGCTTAGGGAACAGCAAGAACAACGCCCTTAATGTGCTCTGCAAAATGAAAAGCATGTTAGTGTAGCAGGAAAGGCATGAAGCAGAAAGGGAAGGAGGAATGTGAGCAGAGAGGGTTCAGAGGCCAAATCCAGAAAGACCTCTCAGGTCAGGGGGCAGTGTGAGTGTTGTGGCTGCAGGGGAGAATGGAGTGTGAGAAGGTAGGAATGGAGGAGAGACACTAGCAGGAGGCTCCTGTAGTTGGGCAGATGGGCACTAGAGACAGAGGTCATGAGAAATGGGTGGATTCTGGAGCTTTTTGAAAGCAGATTCCTTGAGATTTTCTAGAGAATTAGATATGGAGGGGGAGAGAAAGAGGAGTCAAGGAATCTTCCTGGAGATCCAACTCAACCTCCTTTGGAGCTCTTCAACCCCACTATTTTATTTTTAAACACTTGCGTCCAATGAATAAAACTAGGAGGAACTCAATAAAAATTTCGATTTCCTGCTTTGATGCAAAGGTATGAGTGCCCAACCCATGACCATACTTCCCAAAGGCTCAGTCGCCAGGCCTCTGCCAGGCCTCTGCCTCCATCCTTGAAGCCTCTGCTCAACTATCCCTTCCCAGTTCTTTCCTCCTCACACCCCCACCCCCACCACTCAGACCCCCTAGTCTCCTTCTGCATGATCTGTCAACCCCTGACTTCATCACCACTCCAGAAATGGCTTCCCAGCACTGAGTGTAGCGAGCACCCAATGGACTTGCAAAAAGCTATGTTAACCACTGGACAGGTCGGGGGTTGAATGGGGAGCGAAGCAGTTAAAAAGCCACCCCTGCCCTCCAGACACAGACAGGATTACTGCAGTTGTGCAGCACAGGGCAGGGTGGGCTTCTCAGAGATGACCAGCAGGCAGGGGAAGGACAGAAGGAAGAGGTCACAGGAGCGGAGGGCGCGCAAGGCCCGCTCAGCATGTGTGTCTGGTGCCGGGTTGATTATTAGCAGCTTGCTGCAAACATCTTGCACTGGAATGTGGATTGGCCTGGAATCAGGTGGATATTTGGGACATTTGGGAAGACTTCTTAATCTTCTCCCCCAGGGAGCTGAACTCAGAAGCCAACAGAAGCCGGGCTGAATCATAGCTTCAGCAAAGGCTTGCAGTTGGGAACAAAGGGCCAGTGTTGCCTGATTTTTCGACTTTGCGTCAAAGCAGGAAATTGAGATTTTATTGAATTCCTCCTAATTTTATTCATTGGACACGAGTGTTTAAAAATAAGCATTGTTGGGGAACAATGCAAAATTTGTTTGTGGAGATTTAAGTGGTGCTAGGAGTTCAGTCTCCAGGCTTGTAGTAGTGGTCGTCAGAAGGCTCCTTATAAAACCCTAACTGGCATAATGTTACTTTTTAGCCAAGTTCTTTGTCAACTGAAAGAAAGTTGAGGGCAAGTCGTTTTGCCTAAAGGTACCCTGACACTCTGTGCTCACAGCCCTGATGTTAATTGCTCTTAATGTGCTTTAAAACGCCAAGTGGAATGAGCAAAGCCTCCCCATCTAGCCAAACAGCCTAGTCAGAGCGAAAAGCGCCACTAAACTATTCTCCAGACAGCAGCTTTCTTCTTGGTGATTACCCTTCTTTGCAAGCGAGGATCCCCAGAGCTGAGGAGTAGGAATAGCTTACACAGGATACCATCTGTCTTAAAAAAGAAAAAAAAAAAAATAGAGTTGACTATTATATTCAAAGATCAGGGTGGTGGGGGGGGTAGTCCCCCAAGGCTTCCCCACAGGTGGGGGCTCAGAGCCCGAGGGACGCCATCTAGCGTTAGAGAAGGGTCTGGATTTGCCCCAAGGCACTCAGGGCTGGTTTATCCCAGAGGGGGAAATAAAATTCTGTTCAGTTGTTCTCCTTCCTCCACAAAACCCCGGATCTGTGCTTGCTTATTTTCTGGGCTGACTGAGAACAGGGAATCTGGAGAAGAACGCCCGGGTCTGTGCTCCAGTCGTGCGTGTATTGATGCTTAACTCCAGTCAAGTTACTTCATCCCTCCCTGGCTTGCTAGGTTCTACCTTTGCAAATGACCTGCCCTTGCTGGGTGGGTGTAAGGATTAAATTAGCTGATTTATGCAAAGAATTTAGCTGAATTCCTGGTACTTAGTACTCAGTACTCAGCACCCTTCTCCAATTATGTACCAGGCTCTGCAGCTTGTGCTGTCTTTGGTCTCTTTAGACCCACATTCCTTCTGTAAAATGAGGTTGGTTAGATCAGCCTGAAAGTCCCAAACTGGCTGTGCATAAATTATTCCAGAAGCATTAAAAATATAGATTTCCATATCCTATCCAGAAGATTCCATTTCTGAATGTCAGTATGAAACCTCGAAGGATTCTTCCAGTTCAATGTTTTATGTTGGGTTTTCAGAAATTCATG